AGCAGGTTTAAAGCGTGTTTACCTCTATTTGGTTAAGCAATGAGGTGTCAAACTTGAAGCCGGGGATTCTCTTTTCACTGCAGACCACTCCCACGTCTTCGGTGTGTTTGCAGTCCGTGACTCCCCAGCCATTGGAAGTGCACGCTGCCAGGGTGGTCTCCTTGCCATTACAGTGGACATTGTCCATCCAAATTTTCCCTGAAGGGGAAAGAAAAATAGAACCGAGACTCACAAAGAGGGCACATCTGAGGTGGTACTGAAAGCGAGTAAGGCTGCTGCGCTCTCACTACATCAGGGAAGGAATTGCTGCTAAAATAAGCTTGAATAAACCAGCCGAGGAGCATCAATGATCCGCCTCAGGTACTTACTAACTGGAAACAGCTCTGCCCCACAGCTTTCCCTTTCATTTATCTGCATGGGAATAAAAAAAACCACCAGCAGCCTGAAGGAGTCCTGCATAACTGACCTCCTCTGATTAGAGCACGCAGTGTCACCGGGTCACCCTGATTGAGCTGATTAGACCCTGCCCTACAATCATACTCACCGTATCAGCCCTTCTGTCGTTAAGGCTGCTCTTTGACATCATTTCTCCTTCATCAAATCCTCGTTAGGGCTCGTGTAGGAGGGAGCTCACAGTTTGGATTAAATGCCTTAACTTTTTAAAAGCGGATTTTTGCAGAAGCTTTAACAAATCACTACTGATCGGCACGTCCTGTTGTTGGGGTGTTCTTTGAAAACAAATGGCCACATCCACTTTCCAGGCTGTAATTACCATTTTACCTCCAGCAAAAAGTCTGTGCACAGGAGCACGCATACGTATATGTGCTATATCGTAAAAAAATCAGGTCCCTCAGAGCTCACTTCCTAGACAAGTGGACAAAAATCTACACCCATCACCTTCAAAATTTAAGTCATGTTATTGCGAGACAGTAAAAGACCCTACAGCATCTCTGAGATTCAGCTTTCAAAAAGCTCATTTTCCCTTTGGAAACGTGCTGGGCATGTGCCGCTCCCCTGTGATTTGCCCCCTAAATTGCAGGAAGCAACAGCCAAGGAAAAACTCCCCTATTTTAGGGTACTAAATGCTTTGTTTGTCCGGAACGTAACATTTTTGACAGAAAGGGCTGCTTGGCCTTCAGAGGCACCAGAAGACTCCGTGGCCGTTGCCCTTGGCTTTGCTCCAGCAGCCCCGAAAGCCATCGGTTCATCACGAGATGATGGATGTGCCAAGTCCTCACCGCGATCCCTGCACGGGGGAGCAGAAAGAGCTCCCACCACGACTGGATCTGCAGGATCCAGGGACAATCTCCCACCCTACCCCAAGAGCCGAAATCCCCAGACCGGGCCAACCTTCAAAGTTATGCATTTCCGTCAAGTCGCTGTCGAAGCCCGTTCACCCTTTTACAGGGAAGTTTAGAGGTGTGAGCACTAACGAGCGCTGCTAAGGGACAGACGTACAGCGCGTTTGTCTCTGCTGCAGTGGAAATAATCTGTCTGTGGGTTACATCAACAGCGCGCCTGGCTTCAGCGTTTGCAGGAAAAATTCTCCATCAGTCAACATTTAACCAACGGCATATCAAAACACGACAATTAAATCCGCTGGGTTACATGCCGCCGCTTTCTCGAGCGTTGTGATTTGAAGGATTCATCGCTGCAACACACAAACATTTGCTTTTCCAGGTCTTTTGCTCAGCACATGTGAGGTGCAATAAGGTGAAATCCACTATTAGCCACGTATCCATCACATGCAATTTCAAAGGGCAAGAAAGGACGTGTAGTTTGGGGTTTTTCCCCACCGGAAAGAGCTTGAGTGTGTCTAAGAGGATTATTATAAATACAGTCCTATACAGGACATAAAGCTCAGGTGTTTATAGGCTGCTCTGCACTGGTGTGTGTGTTTTCTAGAGAGGCTGATGGGGTGAAAGATTTAGGTAGCATTGCATAGGTGCTCTGTTTAGAGCGCGAGGAGTTCAGAGGAGAAAAGAACAGGGGAAAGGAGGGTTTAGAGGCCCCGTTTGACTCACCACAAGGCCATGGAAGGATGCACAGGGAAAGGGACCATCTGCACGTCACGCTTGTGGGCGCAGCTTCCCTTTGGGCAAGATTTATTGACCGCCGTGGAGCCTCCTACCCTCATCCTCCATCCTGCATCCCCTGCTTGAGTTCACACACCATGACCCGCTCCTTCAGCTCTTTACCTCATCATTCCTTAATTCCTTCCAAGACAAGCCAACACCTATTATTTAAACAGCTCAATCTAATGGGACCCTGATTTACAGAGGCACTGCTTCTCCTAGATGCCATTTCGTTACATTTGTAGGAAATACCACTACAGGTCAAGAATTGTTGGTAGTTGGAGAGACGGCTACTACACCACTACTCCGGAGTCACCTTACCTTCTCCTTTGCCATACTTGGAGCTGGGGAGCCAAGACACCGCCTCCACGTAGCCCAGCTCCCTGCAGACCACGTGCGCGGCGTGGATGGAGAAGTCGTCGTCGCACACTGTGCCCCACTCGCCGCTGTAGAACACCTCCACTCGCCCTTCGTTGTGTTTCCTCTTCTGCCCCGCGAGCCGCAGCTGGATCTTGGGGACGTTCGCCGGTCTCGCCGGGGGCTGGTACACTTGAGGGGGTGGCTCAGGGTAACCGGGGAGGTAGGGCCAGTGTTCGTACTGGGCAAAGCCCAGCGGGCTCAGGGAGATGAAGAACAGCGTGATGAAACAGTGGTTATGGGCGAAAGCTGGGAATCTTGCCATTTTTCAGTGCTTACGGTTCTCAGAGCCAAATCTGCAGCTGCCGGTCAGTGCAGGTAGGGACCGCGAGGCTGCCCTGAAATGAAAGAAAAATTTGAGTGAGGCTCGGTAATGACGCGGGCTTTGCACCTCTTGCTTCCGCAAGGGGAGATTTTAGAACAGGTCTAACTATATTAGGGGATGGGTGGAAAAATTAGGGGGGAAAAAAGTATTGAAAAATAAACATTTGGTTTCAAGGAGCCACAAGATTGAGATTTGTAAATTTTCACCATTTCAGGAGGTGAGAGAGAGGAATGAAATTAATTCCTGCTCCACATCAGAGAGAGCTGGATGGGAAGAGAAGAGGGAAGTACAGCTGCAAGCAAAGCACAACTACAAGCAGCAAGCAAAGGGGATTTCCCAAAGCAAATGCAGCCGACAGGGCAGGATACACGTGTTCTGTAAAAACAAAAGGCTCCTGAGTAAAGGAACATTAGCACTAGTCAGACAAGCCTGATTTCAATACCTACCAGCACTGCTTTCAAAAGAAGCCTCTTACAATGTTTTTCATGGATGCAAGATGTTTTTTAGCCCAGAGGATAAACACACGGGCTGAGAAATAACATATGTTAGTTCTAAGTAAAAATACCAAAGCGGGGGGGTTATCTTTGCAAGTCTAACAGAACCGCAAGCCTAGCGGTCTTCAGAAAAACAATAATATCTGCTTTTCAGTTTTAAACATCTGGTTTGATCTACTTGGTTTTAACTGGCTGTTGTTTCTTGCTACTGCACAAACTGCATTTGAAAAGGCTCAGCTAATACCCATCAAAAACTAAGTTGGACCGAAAGGATCTCCCTCCGAAAAAACAAGACAAAGGGCAGGAGGGCCCTGATGGAGCTGGAAGCCAAAAGGTTGAGTTTCTAAAGCAGCTTTCCCATGGCTGTCCCACGCGCAGAAGAACGTGGCGCTCTGTTTATGCGCTGCTGGGACCTTCCAAAGCGTTGGGATGGCCTCGCTGGGCGGCAGGCAGCCACGTGAGGGATGTCTGAGCAGGCAAAGGCAGATAAAGTGTGGTGAGTAGCCTCGGAGTCAAGTCCTGCAGGACCTCCAGCTCTCCAGAGACGAGGCGGCGTGTCTGCGTAATCAACAGACCGTGCCAAATCCTCCTCTACGCTTTTGTTTTATGATGCTCCAGGAAGCTCGATAGTAAACTAAACGAGGATATTTTACAGGAGAAAAGGATGGACAAACAGCAGGTCAGCACGCTCCACTTCTTCTGCCAAGGCAAACACTGACCCGGGCTCAGCTCTGAGCTCAGCTTAGTGGGGGTCTTTCGTGACCAGAGGCCAAGGAACAGCTAAAAGCTGTGCAACACCCCTTTCCAGGGTTGCTTTCTCTTCAAACCAAAGCTCTCGAGTCGTTTTGCTGAAGGAGTTCGGCCAAAAGACACAAGGATTTGGGGAAACCGTTTGGAGGCAGGATGTAATAGTTACCAGCTGAGAGGGGCACTCCCTGAAGTGTTAATTAATAAAGCGGACGGAGATGCCAGAGCCTTTCAAAAAGAGACCTCGCGGTCCAGGAGCAGCTGGGGGCAGTCGTAGCAGACTTTCAGGTTATTTTAATTGATACCGAGTCAGGGGGATACTAATGTAGATTATAGCAACTAGAGTAGGTGTAATTTTCACTCTTGGCAAAGCCTCGCCGAGCCAGACACCCCAGGAGCCCCAAAAGGCAGCTGCAGGTGGGTTTGCTTTTGCTCCCCAAAAGCTTAGAGGCTTTGCAGTCAGGCAAGATTCAGAAAATCCAGCATTTACTCTAAAAGTGAAGAAAACCTGGCGAGGGAGGATAAGGTTGCCTGAGAGCCCCTTGGCTGTGCAGAGGGAAGCGTGACTAGCAAAAAGGAATTTTAACAAGCTCCTACGAACACAGTTGCTGAGGAAAACGATTTGGGGCACACACGTTTTGTCCTCAGCATCACCTCTCCTCTTTGTCGGGACCCTGCACGCAGCAGGAGGGGCTCCTCGAGGAAAAACATTCAGAAATCTCCCTTCTTGTCCTATTTTTCCACCTGTGGAAGCAAATTCTGGAGGAATTCCTCAATACTGTCGGAACAGCAGCTTGGGGAGACAACAGGGCAGTGTGTCCCAGCGACCACAGCCCGCTTTTCCTGCAGGTCGTGTTACCGTCCACGTTCACACCTGGAGAGACAAAGCTTTCACAGTGTTCGCACCGCCCCAGAAATAAAACCTTCCATACCCAGAGGCCTTGTTTATTGAGGTGCTGAAGAGAAACTATTCAGACCAAAGTCACGGCGTCAGGAAAAGCAGGATCTAGAGGAATTTGAACACAGGCATGGCTTGAGTGTTTCCACAAGAAGCAGCAGCCCTGGGTACGACGGGGAAAATTCAAGAGTGCGGTGTGCCCACCGGTGTCCAGGAGCTGCAGCGGAGAAAAGGGCTCTGGGCTTTCTGTCCCCTGTCAAAACTGGAACAACGGGGAGTTACGGCACCGGAGAGGATCGAGCATCTTCGGGCAGAGGCGTCCCTCCACGCCAGCTGGGGCACTTTTTGTCAGGAGGCAGGACAAGCAGTAACACAGGACGGGTCCTGAGGACTGATAAGGCAGCACAGAAAAATGTCACCCCCCTTCTTTCACTCCGCAGCACGACAGCCTGGGCTTGTTCTTTCCTGGCTCCTCCTGAAATCTCTCTCCTAAGCTACAAGACGTTGGTTTTTCTGCACCAGCCTTGAAGAACTCTCCCTGCTCTTCAGTGAGAGCACGGATGGTTCAGCAACACTTACTTAGGAACATTTAAGAGGGATAGCAGAGGGGAGGCGAATGCACTCGCACATTTCTGGCGGCATCTTTACAAGCCACGTGAACAACATTTAATAAGGAAAATATTTAAGTAAATATTTAAGTAAACCCACTCCCGTGACCAAGACCTGGACACATTTTTTCCCTCCAAGCCTCAAAGAGAGCTGCACACGCTGAACTTCCTAAGAACAAATCTTGGATTTTCAGGACTTTTGGTTTGTGCTGGCTACTCCCTTTATTGTAGGGCTCATTCCTCCCCTCACAACCTCTCTTTAACAGCCTCCGGACTTATTAATGACGTAACCCTGCAAGTACATATTTTGGTCTCCCCATTCAAAAGAATCCAAGACGGGACATTAAAAACCAATTGAAGAAAGTCAGTGGAGAAGCCAGGAAAATACTCCAGGTCTCCTGGCTCCCCATCCTGTACTTCAGGCCGCAGGATGATTCTCCATCACCACATTAACATGTAATTTAAGGCTTTAAGGCATGCTCCTGCTAGCTGCTGACTCAGCCCTTTTCAGGACTCAAGTCTTGAAGGGAACAGATGGACGGGGGAACGTGCAACAGTTTTGTTTCAAAATATTATTGAGCTTTTACTTCTCCAGAGAATTTACCAGGTAAAACTAACAGGCTATTATTCATCCCCCTAAAGCAAACCCTTGCTCCTACCGTACACCCTGTATTTCCAAGTTTATGCTCCTTTGCCCAAAGCGCAAACCTGATGAAGTTGGTTTGTTGCTTTGTTTTCTGGTTGGTTTGGTTTTTTTTCCCAGTAAAATGCTGTACAGGATTCAAGGCAGGCCAGAACAAACAGAACAGCAGAAATCTTTTCAGGATAACATTTTGATAAGTTACGAAGCCAGAGGCTCTGCAAGCCAGAAGGATGGCAAGCTAATGGCTAGTGAGCGCTCTGAGGAACACCTTTCCTCTGCATTTCTCTTCACAGCTGGAGGGAAAAAAACCCACACGATGTCTATTAGCCAGCGCCACTGAGCTGTTACCGTTTGCTCATCCCTTTCAGTTGGGCTCCCCGGAGCTCTCTGACTAGGGTAGGGCTTTCATAAATCACTTCGGAGAGCTGCCTCTGCTCAGGAGCTGAAACTTGCCAGCAGGGAGCTGAAAGCTACCTTAAAAAAGCAAATTTCACATTATTGCAAACTGGCCAAGGGCAACCAGTGGCAAATTAACAGTTGTTTACATCGGGGAAGTTACCAAAGGTAATTTTCTTCTAGTCTGTTTTTTTTTTGAGAGTGAGCAAAGTCCCGCTTTGCCCCCTCGCAGCAAAGGCAACCCAGAATCCAAAGCTACAGACCTGCCGCGGTGTTACCAGCCGCAAGATCTCACTTGAGAACATTCATCACTTAATAATTACTAAAGAACCTTCTGGCCTCTGCTTCACATTCAAACATACCTACCTACACGCCCACTTTTTTTATTTCTTCCCAAAAGCCTTACTGCTGCCTGGAACAGAAAACAGTTCGGAGTGTTTGCCAACTGATGAGGATAAATTACAACAGACGGCACTTTGAGCAGGCGGCAAAAAAGATCTATACAGCCCAGGAATGTACGTTGCTTGCCATTGAAGCTAGGCAAGAGAAGAGAAGCTCTGATGGAGAAACACACTCGTTAGGAGAGTAGGAAAGAAAAGGTATTTTTGTTCACGTTTGCTTTTAAAAAGGACAGCTGCAAGTCTAACAACAGAAAAATGAGTGTTTGTGAAAGCTGCCTAAGCAGAGCCCTTTGCGTTACTGTTCAAGGAGATCCAAAAGTTTGGAAGTTCGATGCTGCAGCGATGTGAGCAGGGCAAAACACCCAGGTCCGTGTCAGCGTGTCTCGTCACCAGGCTCAGCTGGACACTTCTTAGAGCTTCCACATCCAAATGTGCCCTCAGATCTTCAACTGAAGCAATTCACATTCGCTCTCAGTTTTAACCCCTTGACGCATTCATTTATCTTAGAAGGCAAAAAAAACTTGCCTGGGAATGAGCTGGACACGTGCAGCATCTTCTCTCCGTGCCACAGTTGCAATTCAGACACACTTCCTTTGGGGAAGTTCTTTATTTTCCTTATCTCTTCCCTTTGCCTGGCGCTAGAGAGCAAAGACGCAGAGAGATGTGAATCACGACAATTCTCAGGCTCCTGGCCAGCACCGGCTGGCTGTTGCACAGACCTTGTGCTGTACTCTTAATAGGAAACAGAACCTA